TCGTTAGTTGCCATGAGTGGCTTTGATGACAAATTATTGGAGAAAAAGTACAGAGATCTGAAAATAAAAAAAAAGGAAATTAACTGCGACTACTATTAATTTCTGATTAATTGGAAGTTACTGAATAACAAAATATGCCCACATGATATATAGGCTAAGTGATAAATAACTAATCCTAAAATATTGGTCCTACAACCCTCTAAATTACTATTTCAACAACACTAGGAAACTACGAACAGAATGCATAAGACTAGTTCAACCAAACTATCCGTCTCCTGATTTGTGTTTTCCTACTTTATTTTGGATCACTTTTAAACAAGAAGGCTATGCGTTTGCTTAATAATAATAAAAATATAAAACAATGTCTTTATTCATAAAATCCTCATCATTTAACCAAATCCAACATTCAAATTTATTTATACATTCTAAAATATTCTAGAATTTCCATCAATTAAAACTCACATTGTTATGTTCTAGATGTTTTGATTATCCTCACAAATGCAGAGTCTAATAATGGATCAGAATCCGAAAAGGGTCCTCTTGTATTGAGACTGATTAAAGGGGTAATGAATGAATAAGTTCAACATAATGATTATTTGTGTGTCTTCATCAAGGAGGGGGGAAAAGTTTTTTTTTAGGTGTTCTGATGATTCTCACAATTACACGACTAGGTCCCGACGGAGCTATCTCTATTAGATGCATAATGGGGTACAAATGTAAAGTAGTCTCGTTAGTCACTGGCTGGTGAGGCTCCAGCATACCGAACCAATCAGAATGGACCAAAGTATTTGTCTAACAGTAATAACTTTTTATGATTGATATTTTCAACATGACAAACACCATGTTAAATTCATTCATTCAAAGGAACAAGTCAGCCAACAAGTCTCTTCCGGAACTCTCAAAGAACTCAGCAAGGGACCTGGTCCCGAAAAGTTTGTGCACGAGAAAAGGACGAAAAGATAGCTGTCAAAAGGCTGGCGACTCTGATGGGGTTAGTGCACAACTATTCATGAGTAGCAAGCTCTCAGCCAATAGCCTCGTCCCAAGGGTTCGTGTCCATTTGAATATAGTATCTTCTTCAACAACACAAACACAAGATTTTGGCAAAACAAAACACACAAGCTAAAAAGGAAAAAACCATCTTCAAGGTAGAACAATACTCATACCCAACAAAAGGATATGATAGAATATTGAAGCATCTTTGTTGAGTTTGAGTTTTGTGTCTATCACTTTATAGTTTTTGCAAATTGAAAATTCTCAAGAACACTTGCAAAAACTCACTTTCAAGAAGTATTATCCGACAAGCACAACAAGGACATGATCAGGCTGCAAGCATTAGAGTGTGTCTTAGGAGTTAAAATTTTGTGCTTATATTGTAAATTTGTTCCTTGTCTATAAGGGATTCAGATATTTATTTTTGGTTTATAAATGTCTAAATCAGTTAAAGGTAACTGATTAAGTGGGCAGCACTGTTTGCTGCTTAGTGAAAATTCTAAGTTATCTAGGAGCTAGTTGATTTAGTGGGCGGTGTTGTATCCGTTCAGTCAAAGTCTAAATTATCCGGAGCGTGGTGGTTTAGTGGGCAACCTGTGTGTTGCTTAGTCATATTCTAAGTTGTCTAGTGGTGATAGCTTAGTGGGTAGTGTGATATCTTGTTAGGCTCAGTAAGTGATAGAGTTATCACTTAGTTGTGAGATTAATAACTTTTTCTCACATTAGTTGTAATCGGGTTTCACTTTTGCTTGAGAAAATTAGTGAAGACGATTGAAAATCCTGTGTGACAGGTCGTGGTTTTACTCCCTTGAGCAAGGAGGTTTTCATGTAAAATCATTGTGCAGATTTTACATACATCCATTTACTTTCTGTATTTGTTTCAGCTACTGTTCTTACTGGGTCAAGGGACCTGGTCCATTGACGTATAGTAGATGTTGACTATTGTCTTTGCTTAAAATCTGTTCTTATTGTCCATTGACTGTTAGTGAACGCTCAAATTCCATCACACATTTTGCGGTAACTTTATAGATTTGATCTATGCTAGAATTTTACTGTTGGATAAAGCTTCTTAATGAGATTTAATAAGACAGGGAGGAGTCTATAAGAACTAGTGGCATGTACTCCCACAAAATCATAAAGCAAAACTATCGATGCGGACTTAATCTCCGTGACAGCTTACATTTTGTCAACTCTATAACTTATATTCTTGGCTTTCAATTTCAGCTCACATTTAATAGATCAAATTGACAACTTTAAAAGTCTCTACCCACCTTTCCACCAACTAGTAAATATACAATCTTCTCCCCCTTTACGAACTACTTTTTCTATCTAATAATAGTTGTCCATTGTTGATTTATCATATAATTTAAGAAATAATAAATTATAGCACTATATTTTGGTAAGACTTAATCTGAATCGCATTTCAAATTTAAGTTGATTTAGTGAGAGCGAGCGTGAAAGTCACTAAATGGGTCAGTCTTTTAGTTCTCCCTGACTAGAATATCAAAGGAGGATGTTACAAATGCCGTGGGTGGACACAACTTTTTCAAAGGTTAGAAGACCACTGGAAGATATAGCATGTCGTCAAAGAAGCACACTAGACGGGTTTACCTTGACGACCGTATCTCCGGGGCATAGTTGAATGTAGATCTTCCGGAAAAAGGGAAGGAGAAGGGTCTTCTTCAGTTGATCCCTCTTGTTCATATTTAGTCCCCTTTCATTTCGGAAGTTCTTTTCTTTTGTACATCCCTCTCTTCCTTACTTACCACCCTTTCTTCTGTTTTTGACGCTTCTTTCATAAAGTAATAAATAAGAAAATACTAAAGATTCGAGCCATAGAATTTCTTAATTTTAGCACAAGGTATATTTCTACATTACTTTTTCAATATTTTTAAATTTAATGCTTTGATAAATGTACCTTTAATAGCAAGGGTAAAACAGATATAAAAGGATAAATTATCTTTTGATTTTTTAAAATGTATAAATATTATTGGACAACTATTTTTAGTATAGTGGACAAGTAAATGATATAATGACTAATTAACCTAGCTGTTTACGGCTAGTTCACTTATAAGTTTTGTGTCTTATCCCGATGAATGTGAACGGTTCAAATTCAACTAGTATACCTTTTATTTTACTATTTGATAATTAGTACAAACTAATCAAATCAAATAAATTTGAATTTGTAGAAGGGAAAAACATGTTCTATCAAAAAAAAAAAGTCCTTTCTCAGAATTAATTATGACCACTGATTAAGACTAAGGCATCTTATCCATTGCACAAAATATCCATGGGTGGTATAACCTACTTGGTATACAAACCAATCTCAAGAGAGACGGAAAGTTCAAATGTGAGTTTCAACAAGAATTAGACAAACAAAAAGCTTGCATCAAAGGTCAAGGTGTCAAGAAAATTAAAGAATCCATCACCTTATTTAAATTTTTGAAACCATTGGGGATTAAGAAATTCAACATGTATTTTGTTTCACACCATGAAGTTATTATAATTGAATTACATTAAACATCTTTGATATAATTAAGCTATATTAAACATCTTTGATATAATTAATTTGCATTAAACATCTTTGATGTGATCCAATTATAAATATATCATGTAGTACTCTAAAATTAAATACTTAAATCCCTATACTAGTGCAAATTCTACACAAATATAATAGTTTAGGTTTTACTAGCTTAGGATGTTAAGCGCCTAGTTTTGAAAAACCATGAAAACCAAGTTGTAATATATTCAAATATAATCAATAAAAGACAAATTACAATTAAAACATACCTATATTAAGTTTTATAAAGTCAATTCCCTAAAAAAGTAATTTAAAACGACTTTGTGATTTGTAGAATCTTCCTTCGATTGTGTAACATGAGCTTGAATTATTGTAAATGTCATTTTCATATCACAAGTTTATCATGTATAGGCAAAAAAGTCAATTTGGTTGTTCTTCCATCTTAAAAGTTTGAAGTTGAATGCATCCAATCAAATGTTTTCATATATTCACAATGGCCAAGTATTTCAAATTCCAAGTTAACGTATCCAATACGCAAGGCTTACCTCACTAATTCGTTGTATTAATTTTTATACACTAATTAAATTAAAGTAAAATAAATGAAATATTTATTAATTTGTTCTCAAAAATATCTTGACACATCAACAAGGTACCGCTTCAGCCTAAACTCTAATAAGAGAATATTAAGTGATTTTAAAGATAACTAAAAGTAATTATAATCAATATAATTAATAAATAGTACTTCCTCTGTCGGGTATTGTTTCTCATGGTTTTATGTTTAGAGTTAAACTATAAAAACTTTAACTAACATTTTAAGATGTATTTTTTCATAATATTAATATGCAAAAGAATTGCAATTTGTAGTTTTTTTCATATAATTTTAGAATATCTAATTTTTTGTTTGAAATATCGAATTAATGTGACCTAATTTAACTTTGACAATTAATCGAATTGACTATCAAAAAGCACAACATGGCAAACAATACCGAACGAAGGAATTACTAATAATAATTGACCTACAAACCAAGTTAATTCTACACCAAATTAAAACTTAATGTCTTTTACAAAATTAGTACATACAAGTAAAATCTTTTTTTAAAAAAATTGGAAGACTTCATACAATATAAATTTTTTTTACTGCGAGAAAAACCTTTGTTTCTATGTCCAAACACTATACTAGAAACAAAGGTTTTTCTCGCTGTAAAAAAATTTGTATCGTAGAACATGATTTTCCTATTCATTTTATTTCTACTATTCATTCTATAAATGACAGAGAGAATTTAATTCCTCCAAAGAAAATTGGAACAAACCATTAGCATATATCAATATATTTAGAATATAATAAGTTGAATTATTAGTAATCGTTGAAAACTAAAAATCAACATTTCCTATTAATTTCCAAAGAAAATTTCCGTAAATAATGTTTTTCCATAAATAGTGATTGACAAGTTGTCATGTCCCAAAAGTCCTCAAAAGTCACGTACAGTAAGTACATAATATATCTTCATGGCCGTACCTTGCTCACACATCATTATTTTCTTCTCTCATCATCTCACGATAATTATTATTTTCATTTCTCAAAAAGAAGATAATTACATGATGAGGAATTCGAAAACGTACAACAACAAAATGTCTATGGAGGATCAAAGCAGCGTTCCTAGGAGACAAACGTTTGGTAGTATGTTACAATCCGATCCAAATCATGATGAAGATGAATATGTTAATTTTCGTACATGTGATCAATCTGGCCTTGCAAATTATGATCATAATCATCGCGTTTCTGGATTGAGTTCAGACTATAATATGATGATCTCTCCTTCACCTTCAGATGAATGTTATTATTCATTATCGACTACTCCATATGTAACACCTTCTATTGACCTAACATCGTCTCCTTTATCAAAATCTCCATGGTCCTCTCATGTTGAAACTTATCTATATACCGGCCTTATTGGCTCTCTTGTTCGTGAAGAAGGACATATATATTCATTAGCCGCTTCTGGGGACTTGTTATATACCGGATCAGATAGCAAAAATATTAGAATATGGAAAAGTCAAAAAGAATTTGCAGGATTCAAATCAAATAGTGGATTGGTGAAGGCAATAATCATTAGTGGAGAAAGAATCTTCACCGGTCATCAAGATGGAAAGGTACAATTGACATCTCATCTAAAAGCTTAATGAAACAATCATATCTTGAATACAAGATATTAATAATATCATGTTGTATACGTATAATTTATTTAAAAACTTAAGTCATGTTTAAAATTATGTCTGATCATGAACAGGTACGAGTGTGGAAGGTTTCTCCTAACGATCCAAACAATTACAGGAGGATTGGAACGTTACCAACTTTGAAGGCATATATAAAAAGTTCAATGAATCCGAATAATTACGTTGAAGTGAGAAGAAACAGAAACTCAGTGTGGATAAGACATTTTGATGCTATTTCATCTCTTAGTATGAGCGAAGATCAAAATCTATTATATTCAGCATCTTGGGATAAAACCATAAAAGTTTGGAGAGCATCAGATTTTAAGTGTTTAGAATCAATAAGTGCACATGAAGATGCAGTAAATTCAGTAGTTGTTGGATTTGATGGATTAGTCTTTTCAGGATCAGCTGATGGAACAGTAAAAGTTTGGAGAAGAGAATTACAAGGTAATAAAACTAAACACTTCTTTTCACAGACATTGTTGAATCAAGAATGCGCGGTAACATCTTTAGTTGTTGATCCTAGTTCAAATTTCCTCTATTGTGGTTCATCTGATGGTTTTGTAAACTTTTGGGAACGCGCCAAGTTTTTGTCACACGGAGGAGTTCTCAGAGGTCATAAATCAGCTGTTCTTTGCTTAGCTACCGCGGGGAATTTAGTATTTAGTGGATCAGCAGACACGAATATTTGTGTGTGGAGAAGAGAAGGTTGTGATCATATATGTTTATCAGTGTTGAAAGGACATTCAGGTCCTGTTAAGTGTATGGCTGTTGAAGAAGATCATGGACCAACTATTAATGGTGATCGACAATTTATCGTGTATAGTGGTAGCCTCGATAAATCAGTGAAGATTTGGAGAGTATCACCATGTCCGCCTCATATGCAAGTACAACTTCAAGATCAATCCCAATGGGGTACAAGTTAGCAAAGACAAGTTCATAATGTAGAGTAAGTGGATTCAGAATGAGTTATATCATATAATTACATATGATATATTTCCTCAATCTCAATTTATGTGACGTAATTCATCTAAAGATGTGTTGTTTGTCATATTGAAAGGACTAAGGACGGACAAGGAAATAATATGTCACATAAAGTGAAATGACGGAAGTACATTTTTATTTTTTATATGTAGTTCGGCAACCATGCCAGCTCAACAACATCAACCAGCCCCCAATAGGGGTACGCGTTAGCAGAGCTAGGGGAATTTAGTAATGTAGAGTCAGCGAGGACAAAATGAGTTATGTAACCTTATTATTTGTGTTTTCTTATTTTCATATGTATATAGTCTGGTTGAGATGCAAGCACATCAGATTCATAACAAGGAAGGAGCTAGTAGAGGCAAATCTAGAATGTAAAGTTAATATGTTCAAAATGAGTATGATTGTATTATGTGTATATATTTTTCTCCTCATATCAGTTCATTATGAATTTAAAATTTGATTGTGTAGCATAGTATGAAACTAAATATAAGAGTCAACTCAGGCTCGACTCAAGCTCTATTATATTTTAACAAAGCTCGATTATGCTCAGCTCGACTTAATATTTTACAAAGCTCTTGTCAAGATGCCCAAGCCTAGAAAGTTATAAGGTACGTATGTAGAAGAGTTCAAAATTTACTTCTTTTTTTTTTTTATATTAGTGTGGCTTCTTTGCTGAGAAATGTATTTGAACAAGAGAACTTTGAGAAGAAAAGAAAAATGAACGATTTCATTACTTTGTTCATCACTTTTACATTATATATAGGCTTATACAATCATCCAGTAGCTTCTGGAATCCACTAACTAACTCAACCTTGTCATAGTAACAACTTTTTAACTAACTCAATGTAATAGTAATAAAACAGTAAAACAAAACTGTCACTTATTTGCAACTATTATTTCAACGCTCCCCCTCAAGCTGTGGGGTGGAAAATGTTAAGCACACCAAGCTTGCTTAATAGATGTAGATGCTGATCCATATCTGCTACCTGATGTTGAGTAGGAACATATAGAGGTTTCACTATGTCAACTTTCACCTTGTCTCTTAAAAAATGGCAATCGATCGCTATGTGTTTAGTAAGCTCATGAAATATAGGATTATCGGCTAACTGAATAGCAGATTTACTATCACTTAAAACTGTGACTGGCTTATGAGCGGAAACATTTAGCTCTGCAAACAATCCTTCTAACCAAGTGATCTCCACTACAGTTGAGGTCATACTCGCCTTAGCCGAACTTTTAGATACAGTATGTTGTTTTTTTTTAATTTTCAGGAAACCAATTACTCTCCAAATTTCACCACATAGCCTGTGACTGACCTCCTTGTGTTGGGACATGCAACTCAGTCTGAGCAGTTTGAGCATTCAGCCAAATGCCTTGCCCCACAGTACCCTTTAAATATCTTATCACCGTGTTTGGAGCTTCTAAGTGAGATTTCTTGGGTTGTTGCATGGAGTGTACAACATAACTAATATCAGGTCTAGTTATTGTTGCATATAGTAATTTTCCAACCAACCTCTGATAGCCAGTAATGTCATGTAATACAACATCTCCAATTAATGACTCAATTAGCTTTGACAAACTCCACTGAGGTCATTTTAGAGTTGGATTCCAAAGGTGTACATAATGGCTTTGCTCCTGTAAGACCTGTTTCAGAAATAAGCTCAAGAATGTATTTTCTCTGATTCAATATAACTCCTTGTGCAAACCTTAGCAATTCAATCCCTAAGAAATATTTGAGTTCTCCCTAATCCTGAAGTTTAAATTACTGATGCAATACTTCCTTTGCTTTTTTGATCATAGGCTCATTGTCTCCAGTAATGAAAAGATCATCAACATATACCAAGACTATAACCATTCCACAATCCCTTTTCCAAGTAAACAAAGAATAGTCATAAGTACTCTACATGAATCCTGCCTTTGATAATGTTGTAGTAAGCTTGATGTTCCACTGTCTAGATGCTTGTTTAAGTCTATACAATGACTTAAGTAATCTACAAACCTTGTGTTGGCCTTCCAGCCTAAATCCCTGTGGCATCTCCATATACACATCTTCATCCAAATTCCCCTTGTAAAAATGGATTGTACACATCCATCTGATACAAATACCTTCTTTTTTTTTAAACAACCAAGACAATGACACATCTAACCGTCACAATTTTAGCAACAAGTGAAAAAGTGGCATAATAGTCCAACCCTTCTTGTTGACTATATCCTTTTGCCACTAACCTAGCTTTGAACCTCTCCAATTCTCCATTTTCCTTATACTTGATTTTACACCCATTTTGAGCCAATTGCATTCTTCCAGGAGGCAGATCAACCATCTTTCAAGTATTATTATCTTCAAGTGCTTGTACCTCTAACTTCATAGCTTGCATCCATCTCTCATCTTTAACAGTCTGACTAAAGTTTTGTGGATCAACTAATGTGGAGAACTTAGTCAAATATCATTGATAATTGGAAGTTGTATTATCATATGATGGGTAATTAGCCAGTGGATATCTTGTGCCCTTTCCTTTTTCCAGGGGCTGCATAGTCCCTCATTCAAATAGGTTGTTGAGAAACTCTAGAGGTTCTTCTTGGTGGAACAATGTTATGTAATGGAGTATGTGTCTCGACAATTTCTTCAACTGGATGGGCTGCAATTTAGGAACTGTCTGTCATGAGTTGGTGCCTCAAGATTTGATAAGGAATCAGTATCAAGATCTGCATTATCTTCCAATACTGTGTTTGAACATGCATCATCATCCTCTACTTCATACGATGGAGTCAATTCATCATCTTCTTCTACATAAGGAATTATGAAGTATAATTGTCAGAACCCTTCTTCTTGGCAAATGGAAAAATGTGTTCCTCAGAAATGACATCTTTATTGGCAAGAACTTATTAGTGTTGTAATCCAACAGTAAGTATCCCTTTTGTGTAGCAGAATACCCCATAATGATTGCAGTTCTAGACCATTCTGAAAATTTATCTCCTCTTGGGAGTACTGAAGCATAACATAAACGACCAATCACTCTAAAATGATATAAGGAAGGGAACATAGAAAACAACAGCTCAAATGGACTTTTACCCCAGTAGTTGATGATAGTAACCTGTTCATTAGATATACAACAGCATTAACACTCTGTCTTCTGAATCTAATAGGCATGTGAGACTGAAATTTGATAGCCCTGGTTATATTCAATATATATATATATATATATATACTAGATTAGCGTTGCCCGTGCTAAGCACGGGCCCAACGTTTAATATTTTAATATTTTATATATTTATTATCATTTTATTTTACGATACATGTTCACAAAACAAATGCACTATTTATTAAGCAAATTGACAGTCTGAAGAAAGTGAACATCAAGAGTAGCTGAATGTTAACAAATTATCAATAAACATTTAGGAGTTGCTGATTTGTATGCATAATACTGCTTCGGGCTTGAAGACATGCTTTCAGCTGATGATGCTGTAGTTGGGAGCATTATAGGTATTTATAATGGACCTAAATTTAATGAGTTGCATATTAAACAAACAAAATTAATATTTCAATGAGAAAAATTAGTGATTCGAACACATCATAGCTGCCAAATTTGTTCATAATATATTTTCATGTGAATGTCATACTACTGAATGTCGAAGTGAGATACTTACATAGTTTAACATTTTCATTTGTGGGAATACTAATTACATACATTTACATACTGTATAACATTATACAAAAACAGATGCATCTTTCATGCTTGGATCTTCTGGATCATCTTTGATAAAAAATCACCTGTTAGCACAGAATCGCATCACATAACTTATACAACACAAAATGAAAAAAATGTGGCAACATTAAGCTTCAACGAAGCCTCATCTTTGAATCCCTATTTCACGATTGACATAAGACATTTTGTATAATAACACCAATATGAACAAAAGTATGTTGTTGTTTTTTAAAACTATGTCATAGATAGATCATTTAGCAAGATAATGTCAACCAGAATAGCATAAACACTACATTTTGTCGTATTGGAATAGAATAGAGAATTAGTGGAAGAAAATAAGAAAGCCAAATGGAATGTAAAGCATCAATTACAAATGTATGAAATGAGATCTTAGTTAAAGATTAATATTATTTTTATAGTAAAAGATTGCAAAACAGTCAAGAAAGCAAAGTGACAATATTACCAAACAAAGTGAACAAAGCTCAATAGCTGTAAAGATGACAACCTTCATCCAAGATTAAGAAAATCTTGGTAAGCCATAAGATACAACTCAAAATATTTTATATATATAAGACTAAAGGACATTATTTATAGTGAAATTGATTCATAATTGTGACATTAATGTTAAAGGATTAATCAATCTGGACAAAAAAATTTATGAAATATCTGTAATATTTACCTTTAAACTTGTCTTGGAGAAATTCAGTTCAAGACTTTCAAATTAGATCATCAGCAGACAGTAAATGGACATATGATGATGATATTAACAATCCCAAGTTCCGATAAATCATGAAGAGGTGGAAACAGAATAACACAACCCAAATTTTAACCCATATAGAGAAAGAAAAAAATAGTATGATGTACAAATAAAATGTGATGAAAAATGTAAAAGAATCAGCAGATTACTATAGTTTTGAAAAGTAACATACCAGTAGTAGTGTTTGATCAAAGCTTATTCCAGAGTTTAGATCAATCTTATAGGGTCATGATAAGCCAAATATAAAATGACATAACTTGTGCAGGGTATATATTATACAGTACTAAGTGTCATCTGAAATTAGCATAAAGCTTTCTCGAACTTTGCATATTGTAGAAGGATTATTCTCATCATATCTTTCTAGATAAGTTTTACTAAATAGTTTTGATTTCACAAGTTTTTAATTACTACATGTTTTTTTGTATTGTAATTTTTAATTCTATCGATTTAAGGTGGTTATTCTGACAAAATCAATAGAGGAAAGTTACATCATTTTTAGGAACTAAAATTGAACACAATAGCTTTCAACAATAGAAATAACTACAAAAATAAAGAGAAAGTAATTTCATTATGTTGGTAAATGCAGTACCTGTAAAAAATGACATTTAACTAACCTGCTATCATAGGAGAAAATATCTTCAGTTTCCATCAAAGAACAGGAACATAAGACATCCACATAGCAACATCAGAAGCTTGCAAAATTTGGCGTTCAGTGGCAGCAGCAAAAAAGTGCAAAAACTGACTTCTTCGACAACCACAGCAAAAGTATTTCAACTGAAATTTGAAGCAATAAGAAATAATATGTCTAGAACTAAATTGAATTCAAAGAAAAAAAATACAAAGATAAGTAAATCCTATTTCTATCAGTCAATTGCAAAGAGAAAGTTTTAAACAAAGTACAAAATAATTTATATACCTTTTAATTTTTTTTCATGGGAGGATTAGATTTATTTGCAATGCTTGGATATTC